ATAGCTATACATGTTCACATTCATGTGCAAGTATGAAGCAAGACAGTCGACATATTATATATAGATATATAGATATATAGATATATATATATATATATATATAGATATATAGATATATAGATATATAGATATAGATATATATTTGCGTACATATACATATATATACATATATATATATATATGCATACGTACGTACATATGTATGTATACGCGTATATGTACAAATATGTGTATACATATATTTTCCGTCTCGCACCGCCGAAGCTGCGAGGCTGCCTATACATATATATATATATGTACAAAATTAGTATTCATTGAATATTGGATAGCACGAAATACTGGTAAATATTGCACACGTACATCACATTGCAATGAAAGCACATGAACCGACAAGAAATACAGCTACGAAGCTGGAACCTGCTTTTTGGTATGTGGTATCAAGCGTATACGGCGTATACAATTCAAACAACAATAGCGGACATGGGGTCAACGGTATTGACAGGGTTCTCGGCTTCCATCTGCAACAACACAGGAACGCGCATCAGCAATTGCATGGCAAAAGTTGGTCCTACGGGGGTGGGTTACCGTGAATTAGTATATGGTGCGGTGCGCAGCGTCGCGCCATACAGCAGCGTCTGATTTTATACAGCAGAGTGCTAAAAGCATGACCAGAGCTCCTGTGGCACGGTGATGGTTTTGAGAGCTTCGCGTGAACGTAACGGACCCTCCGAGGGCCTATGATGTGATCCCTTTTTCGGGCTACACAAAGTCCCTCCTTAGTGGAGCTATTTGTGAAGCTTCTGCTGTATCCATCACACATATGCCAGGTCCCCGTAGTAACGAAATGCTTGACACTTGTTTTTCCCGGACTCGACTGGCAGGGAACCGAATGCAAGCAAAAGTACATCCAGGGCTAGTGTTCCTGTTCCTCGGACCTGGCTTTGACACCTTCCTCAGTTTGATACATGAATGGTCGCGGCCAAGCATCCAAGCACCCTCTTCTGGCACGACTCCTCCCAGGGTCCAGGAGTCAGAAGCCCTACTTTGCCGCAGGCCGGGGTTTTCTGATCAGGGGTATGGGCTGCAGGCATCTCCAAGTGCAAATGTACTTGATGTGTGCGAATGAAAACGTTTGAGGCCCTCTCAGCACCACCCCCCCCAGTCCTTTGCCAGAGGAGGTTGAACCCCAGGACTGCCACCAGGTTCCTCTGTGCTCGAGAACGGCCGCAGCTTCGGCGGCTTTCTGGGCCCTTGGCAACGCTTTTGGACGCCCTCTGAACCCCATCAATCCTGTCACACATATCGATGTATGCACACGACACCCTGCGAAACTCCAGCTTCAAACTTTTCAGATAATGACAACAACCGGCAGTAGAACCTCTACATATTATGCCCGCCTACCTGCAAGAACCACGCATTTGCTAAACCCTGTTATGGTTTCGTGCATTCCTTCCAGCATAACGTCGGGTTCCCAAAAATTACGGTTTGTACCTAGAATCGTGTGGCGGGTTTTCGCGACTGCAAAACCCAACAAAAAGCTATGCTGTGGGAAGCCTTCTCCTTTCCGATTTGTCAGCCAAAAATCCGACTTTTTTCCAGCACTCCCGAAAAGAAAAACTGGTAGCACCCGGTACTTGGAACGCTGTAAGGTGTAGGTGCCAAAGTAAAAACATGTAACCACTTCAAAAACACGAAACGCCCCTCAAACCGTAGGTCGTTAAGTTCCTATGCCGTCGGATCCTGCACTTCAAATCCTGCCAGGCCTACCATTTCATGTCTCACCATTTTGGGCGCGATGAGCCAAGTCTTATGAAGGACAAGGGTTTTTTAACAGTTCACGGGTATATACCATATTTGCAATCCCACATCTTACCGTGCCAGCCTCGGCTCCCTTCCACGCTGCTTGGGTCGGCCAACGACATGCACCAGGCCATGGCGCTCTGGAGATCATCATGTTTAGCTGAAGGTTTCAAATCGTATAATTGTCACGACGTTTGGTGGGTGCCCGGAGATTCTGAGATGTGCACCGGCAGCCTGCCGTAGCGGAAGCGCAGTGCGAGGGGAGCTCGCGGAGACCGCGCACAAACAAAGTGGGAAAGAGATCGCAGGCTTCGTCCCTCCTCCGGCCGACTTCGGATGCCAGCACCACGAGCCGCTGCGGTCCGCAGCGAGCTCACGGTGCCGCGCGATTTTCAATTCTTACTTTCCGTCGGCAGCAGCAGCAGCAGCAGCAGCAGCAGGCGGCTCGGTCGTTCTGGGTCGGCTAGGTCCAAGAGCTCACTCAGGGCCGGCATATCAGCATGTGCCGGTGCCAGCATGGCCCGGGCGCGCCGCCGTGTGACCAACGGCCTGTTCGCGAGCCCACGAAGTGCAGAGGCTCGCACAGCGGGCGGAGCTTTGCGCTCGCGAAAAACGACAAGGCGCCTGACCAGCCATACTGCGTCGGCGTCCCACTGCCCACCGATTTCGCAGGGGTAGGTCGCGTGCTTGCGCCGAAGGGCGGTGCGCAGAACAGCGCGATCCTGCGTGGCCGCGCCGTGCCGCGCCGGGGTAAGAGGCGAAACGAGGGGCGCATCGCAACAGAGGAGGTTCGATCCTCGAACAACCGTTTACGGTCAATATGCACACAACAAAACAGCGCCAGGTTAGTAAGATCAATCGCTTTGAAGACAAAAATCAAAGCTATCGCATCTGCAAGCCTTCACGCGAGGATCTCGCGATCACACGAATGGAGGCGGCGACAAAGTGCACATGAGCATTGACAGCAGAATGAGTGCTCGGCACGAAGTGAAGATCGAAGTTCCACGGCAGCAGCTCAACGGGTGTCATGTAGCAGAGCACAACTGGGAGCACCACAAAGGCACTCGGAAGCATCCTTTTGAGCATGCCGCGCAATTTTGCCATCCTGAAAGGGATGATGGCCACAACGTGCTAACGTCCACTCCCGAAGCAAAGACGACGGTAATCGCGAGAAATGAATGTTGTTGCCACCGTGCGGCAATGCCATCAATTCCCCACGATACTGTGCGTGAGCACGTAAGGGAAAGCCAACTAAGAGGATAG